AAGAATTCATTTGAAGTTCAATAAAGATTTTACTTATAGCACTAGTAGTTTGAACCACATAGAGTTGAATAGAATATGATGAGGAAGTTGAGAAGATTGAACAAGGAAAAAACCCAAAAAAAAAAAAAAAACAACATAATACATAGAGTTCATGCCCTTATCCACCACTTTTATACTTATATTAATTCCTATGAAATGAAAGTGTTACTTCTTATCAAAAATTTAAAGAAAAAACCATATAAAAAAAACTCTGGGCAGTGACATCAAGTATGGTTGTTTGTAGCACCAAGTAGATCTAATCTTCATTGTTCTGTTTGCTGCATCATCAATTGTTGCCCCTAACATCAGTTCCAAAACTCCGGTCCAAGCATAAAGTCATTCAAACCCACATGTCACAACTCACATATGCCATGTACAGAAAATATAAAGAATTCCCAACCCAAAAAGAATGACTAACAATTCCAATCAATAAAATTCACATAAATCTCTTCTTAAACTATCACCAAACAAACTATAAAAAATCGTGTTAAGAAATAATAAAGTGTGTAGAACTGCAAGTACCGCCAGAAAAGAAGACCCAGATTTGAATATAAGCCAATGTGTGACTATTCAACTTTGCACCAATGTTAAACCGTGCACAAAGCTCTTAATAGTCCCATTGACATTTTTTCCACATGTTTTGCTAAGTAAGAAAAACTCTATTCCACTATTAAAGCAAACCAATCAAATAATTTAACTAAAACTACAACAATAGTCCTATTAACTTTAAGAATTTTCATAATAATTATTTATGTACACAGTAACCTTAGAAGATAGGCTATGATTCTATGATCATCAAGGTATATTTTGATTGATATCTCGTTTAAATTGGAGATCTCAGACTTCTTTCCACTTACTGCAATACTTATCCCGATAAAATTTTTTAATTTTTTTTATTCCTTAGAATTTGTTTTTCCCGTTTTCGAATAAGAATTATTACAATTCCGTTATCGTGTTATCGTAATGATAAACGGCTCGTCTCGCCGTGACCTTCTCTTGAATTCTCAAAACTTCCTACATTTATATATAAACGCTAGTTTAACAAGAATACGCAAGAAAAGCACTTCAAATTGTAGAAAGAAGCGGCTCTTACCCTAGACTCAAAATGGCACTATTCTTAAAGTGATAGCTCTTAAGTCCCATCCTCTTTAAGGAGCTTAGCTCTCTTCTTATCCTAAACTCCCTATTGTTTTTGTTGTCAAATTACCGATTATACCCCTATATATACATGGTTACCAGATAGCCACAGAGAAGCACATTACAATACTTGTATGCTCCTAGCCTGAATCTTATTAAAAATGGGAGCATATGAGTTGATTCGGATCAATATGGAATTATTACCTCAAGCTCATTCTATATTTTCTCCTTGGTTGATAGAACCAAAACAAACAATTTCATGTTGATTGATTTGCCTTTTCAATCTATCAACGAAAGCATAACACCATTCTACTGAAAAACAAACTTGATGCAAATGCAAGATGAAAATTGCTGAATTGAGCAAGTCTATGACAACCAATAGACAAATTTTCCTGCAGCTATACCATGTGTCTTACCTGATTTCATGAGCTAAAGCAGACCAAAGTGATGCCAGTTCAGCTCAAATTTAGAGCTCTTTGCCCATGATATCATAACTTTAAAACACAGGAAATTCAGTGACATCCTCTTCCCAAGCTTTTCTTAAATAAGTCATCAAACTTCACGGAAAACTCATTCTGCAGAATGCAAACACGGGAAAAACAGCATAGGAGATGTGAGGCAACTGTTAGATTTCCTACAAAAAAAGTTACACAACCACAAGCACATGCATGCACAACCACATGCTCCATGCAACTACCACGATCTAATGTCTAGGTTAAAAATGTAAATATGAGAACGCAGACTTGTAAATAATCACTGCAAAGCAACAACTGACCAGCTCACTTCTGATGTGTTCTCGGTTGCACTTTGACCTTCATAAATATTCCAAGAGAAATGATGTGCCTTCTAAAAGTGACATACACAAAACAAGTCGAGAAAATATATAGAATTAACCAAAAAAAAAGGTTTCGTGTTTTGTTGAGAGCTTTTCAACTACATAAAGACAAATCAAGTAAATTTACCTTAAGATCCCCAAAATCCAGACCTTCTTTAAAGCTTGGAGGAAGGGCCAGGGCAGGACCACCATTAAGCACTTCCCATACCCATTCACCATTAGAAGCATCATCTGGAACTATCATCCCAAAAGACTCAGAATCATCCAAACCACGGGGATGAAAAGGATGGTTGTTGATGCTTCCCTTTACAAAATCCGTTGCAAGGTCCAGAAATGCGTGGCAAAGCACTAGAATCCTCGGCTCCTGTAGTAAGTTCTGATACATCCCACCTAGGACACTATAATAAGTCAACTCCATGACAAAGGAATAAATTAGGGGTCAACGACTGGGTTAGTAATAAGTGATACTATAACAGAAACCCAGAAGAACTTTTTCCCCAAAAAAAAAAAAAACTACATCGTTTTTGCTCAAGCAATTCTTGTGAACTTGTTTTCTATGTTAAGCTACTCTGAACATCTTTGTTCAAGAACAAGCGCAATGTATAAGCAAAATTTCAAACCTACACCGAACTAGGTTCCCATTTTTCAAGCTCCCTCTTTGTACGTCTAAAAGATAATTCCCATGCGGGAACGACAACAGAGCAGAGCAATGACGGCTCCAAGCAACTTCTGCTCTATCAAACCAGTTGAATTTCCACTGCCTACCAGCTTTTTCTGGGGAAAATTCATCAAGGTCCAATCTTGGAAGGCGGTATTTTTCCTTTACAAACTCTTTTATTGATCCAGGTGTTTCACTAGGAAATGCAGGTGGCTGAAACAAGATCAAATAAGTTTTACCAGCAACAAACATGTCATGCAAAAAGAGGCTATTAGTACGAACATTGACGTGGTACAAAAGAAGGGCTCTTTTTATTAAAATGTAGCATACATATCACAGATTTGATAACAACTCATGGATGTCATAAAAAAACATTAAAAGAAACATGGAATCCATGAGAATAACAACTCATCTCCAATTAACAGTCAAATGACAACTTATGGAAAGCATTGTTGTTTAAATTCAGCATATGCCTAGGAGAAGGAGCATTGTTGTTTAAATTCACCTCGTAAGCAAATTTCATAAACTAAATAATATATAAAATTATATTCACAACAAAAAGTAAAAAGGGGGTCAGATGTTAATTACTACAGGTTTGAAAATGCCATATTGCTTACATGTCATCTTGATAATAGGCATCTTGCTTACAGTCAAAGATTAGTTAATCAGTAATAAAAAAAACCTAGCGAAGCAGAATGTCATCTTGATAATAGGCATATGCTGTAGTTTCATACGGCACAAAGTAGATCACAGTTTGGTAAGAGTATGCAATAGAATATTCAGACAACTATCAACATACAGTTACTTCACTGTGCTATGAGTATTGCATATTTGGTCTCAAAATCCTCATATTTACAGAAGTCCACAAGTGACAAGTACATTAAACTCTTTAAATCAACAGACAAAAAAATGATTGCTAAGAATAACCTCTCAGACTTGAGACCTCCATTGATGGGCCCATGTAACCTGGCATCAAGTTCACTCTCCTTAAAAATGTTCAAAATGACCTTAAAAGGGCAGATTATAGAACTCATAAACTACATAAACGCAAAGCAAAGAAGAAGAAAAAACTCATCTGAAGCTTTAAGATGCCACAAAAACAGGGAAAAAGAAAAAATATATCAAACAAGATTTAATGTATGATTAAATCTGGTCCAGATTAACCTACTGAAATTTAACTTCTAAAACCTCAAATAATAGCAGAAATGGTCAGATCCAATCAACAATCACAAATAAGATTCGGATAGAACAAGAAATTCCTAATATGCCACATGACCAGATGTATGTTAATGTTACCATAATAACCCCTTCATCAACGGCACGATAAAGTTTGCTAACCAGAGAAAACACCCAAACTGAGCAAGTAGTAGAGGAACTCTGGGTACGTGACACACAAGGCAGTAAAATACAGCAGTTAGTAATCGACATCTTCTGCAACAGAAAAATATATAAACAGTGAGAGAAAAATAAATACATTAATATCACCTGAATGAGAGGGAAATAAAAGAGAAAACATTGATAAAAATGGATTGGTAGTCATCTGACTGTGTGCTAGTAATAGTGAAGTGAAGTGAGTGCTAGTGATTTGCACATTTTGGTGGTGAATGTCTGCTGGATTGGGCATGGTTTCCATTTGAATGAAATAAAAAAATGTAAACGCAAATAAATATTCATATGGTATCTTAGGCAAACATGATATCTTTAGGCAAATAAATAACAAATGAATATGAAAATTTAAATGAAATCCACATTTGCCGGACATGCACTGGCCTACGAATTTGAACATTTTGTTTTTCTTAAGAGCTATGTCATTTAGTCAGTATTTTATGGTATACTAATCTATTCAATGTCTTTAATGATATTTTTGGTATTTATAAAATTGTTATTATTGATATGATCAAACATTATCATGCCTGTTAAAAAGGGGAAATTTGTTGCTAACTTTTTAGTAGTAGGGGAAGTTATATAATTAAGGAATATGTGGAGAGAATTATTGTTTTGAGCTATTAAAAACTAGGCAGTGTTTTGAATGATTTTAATAATTATGGGAGACTATTTTTTTATTAAGTATTTTGATAAGGACATTTAGGTGATCAAAAGTTTTTCATGCATCCATACTTTTATTAATAGTATAGCTATAGATGAAGGAAGCGTTCGTTGCATTGTTTCCATGACTAAATTTTATTCTATCAAACTTACCTGGGACTAGCTGCATATATGGAATATGAATGTGAATAACAGGCAAGAGTCAGGGCACATACAATTGGATTTGAGGATATGTCTATATTCTATGTAGAAGCACTGGCAGGCAGACATAGAGTTCCTGAATAGGTGTGCACCACACAGATAGTTGTCATTCGCTTGTTGAAATAAGTGTATGAACTATGAACGTATAATACCTAAGTGCACGCCAATCACTAATTTTACTAGAGGATATGGAATATCAATCCGAGCTTTACATTCAGAAAGCATTGTGTCCCTATGAGAAGATCTATGTCTGCATAATTCTAAGATGCATTAGCAAACCAGTAAAGCTGGCTAACTCATAGTCAAATGTCAAAATTGTTGCAATGTAGGACTCACTACCTCCACTAAAACGAAATGCCAGCAATATTCTAACATTCACGAAATTTCAACCCCTCATCAAAACCGAAGAAAATATTTATGCAGGCCCCCAAAAGCTCCAAAGATATGTTAGAAGAAAGTGTCAAAAGTTGTACTGTCAAACTAAACGTGGCACCCGCACCAATGTAATCCTGTGGCTATTATGGTATGATCATCTTCAACAAAAATGGCCACGCAATATGCTGCAAATACCACAAATATGATTTTAATCATGATAAGGTACGCCCATCATAAACAAGAAAAGAAGTATCCGAGCAAAATAAAAATATGTGATAAATATAGGATCAACATTCAAGTAAACCCAATTCAGGAATGATGATAGGTATCAAAAAAAAACCTTTTCACAAACGGCCCGTAACTCTGCCTCACAGACTGTGTCAGCCTTCACCTGAGCACACTAAGGACTAAGCTAACTACACTACATACAAATGACCACATATATGCAATAATTATGACACTAAGCAGAAAAATATGACACATGACAACAAAAAATAATTGAACAAATTAGATCCTGTTAATTTCGATTTTTGTTAATTTTGGTCAAGTATGAACATCCATTTTAAAATTAATTGGGTCCAACTGACAAACCCATAGAAATTCACCGGTGGTATCCATTACTACCTGAAATTGACCGGAAACAACCCACTTTGACAGTGGAGGGATCCTAGAGCATAATTGGAGATACAAATCAATAATGAAGGACCACCCCATATTGATCCAATAGAATAGAAAGTCAGTGCCACATATCCTCTTGCAGTATTTCTTTTATTTTTCTCTGAGGACTGGGGTTGTGTTTGACTTGACAGGGTGGGAGGAATATGTGGCCATCATTTGGACTAAAAGCACTCATATGTAAACATCCAGTCTCTTGTATTGTAAGGATAATAAGTTCCGCTTGACGTAAAGAATTCCTTAAATCCCTCAAGATCATCCCTCTCTCAATCTTTTATTGCACAACGGCATACAAGATACTCTACAAACAACCCTCCAGAAGGAGTGAAGGACCAATCAGGTAACAATGCAAAGCCATAACCATAATAAACTACAACCAGAATAAACACAATCACGTATTATAAAGTAGCTAAAAATTGGTCGTCTTGAACTGATGTTGTGACAAAACCTACAGCGGTACCTCCGAAAGAGCTTTACGAACCCCCAGAACTCTCTCTTCAAACAACAGCATCACAGCTTCAACCAATGGAATATGGCATTTTACTGTGCCAAGCTTCCAACAACCTCACTGGGAAATAATGCGGAAGTCAGACAATGAAAGAGAACAAACCTTGTCAACAGATGCTGAAAACACAGTGTCCCAAAAGTCACTTCTTTCAACCTGTGCATTTCTGGTGTCAAAGGCCAACATATTTCATGACACAGAAAACTCAATGAAAACAATATTAAATTATACAAGAATTGTGAAGTATTAAGGCTAGTATCAGACACCAAATTTTCCCCGAACCCATATCTATGGTGATGGGGTGGGGTTGGAGGTGAGATAAGCTTGACCACTAAATGATACAAAACAAAAATAATGCTAGTCAGGAACTACTCACAATTAGAAGGAAAACAAATAAACCCTCAGGGTACATGACACCAACTGTCAGAAAAAAATACTGAACTTCATTATAAGTCTGTCACATGCAAAGGTGCAGATAAACACATTGATGCAGAAATAAAAAACCAAGCACTGGGTAGACAGAAAACACAACATAACTTTAAATTATGTGAAAGATATATGTGTGGGAGAGGGAGAGGGAGTGGGGGCCAGTATTGATGTGGCAAATAAGTGAACGTACGAATAGTTAGTTCCATCGGTCATCCGACAAATTAATATAACCATCTAAAGGAGATGACAAAGCTAAAATCCCTCTCGGAATTTGATTATGATAACAGATCAAGATTTTTAACAGATCCCACACAGCAGTGTATCCGACAAATTAATATAACCATAAACCATCTAAAGGAGATGACAAATCTAAAAATTCCTGTCATAAGGTGATGATGACGCCATAGACCAACACATCAAGACTTTAATAGATCCCACAAGAGTAGTGTACCATTAGGACAACTTACAGAGAGTTGAGGGGAAAACACGGCATTGTTTGATTAACCCAGTGAAGAAATTCCAATATTATGTAGGTAAAAGATTCATCCCGGTGAATAAGTCTGAATTGCAAGAAATTGTGCTTCCAAGTTCCAACAAAATAAAAATAGAAAATGTCAAAACAATTAGTGGCAAAAGACACATTTTGAATTAAGCTAAGTTTTAAGGATTCCACAGAACCAATCCAAAAATATTGAATAAAACAAAGCTCTCACTAGATAGACAGAATAAAATTTGTACTATTATAGAGGGAGAGAACATAGCAAAACAATAAGCTATGACAACCTAAGAGGTCATGAGATAACAATTTGTGCTTAGGAGGAGCAACGAGATTAGAATATGCACAATTTCATCGTAATGAAATAATGAACAAAAATGTCATAGTTCAGGCCCAGTGAAAAGGCTGCACGATCTTTGTTGTCATTGTTAATGCAACCAACGGAAGAAGTTGACGAAATGGCTGTCAGGTCCGGCACTCACAGTAGAAATCATTTGACTGGATGTCCACCAATTGAAGACAATCAATCTTATTTTAGCTTTCACAGCATATTCGATCAACAAAAGAATGCTAAATCGGTTTACCTTTTCAATTGATTTATCGAAGAAACGACAGTTCGAGAGTTCTAGTGAATTAAAAACAAGCATATATAACAAAATCGAAACAATTAACAGGTCCCCAAAGCATGACTTTCTGATCGAGATTAAAGATTGTACCTTCGGTGAGATGACCTCAGAAGTGGCAATTTCAGCAAGCTTTACCATGTAATGGGGAGAAAGCGAAGAAGTGATGTCCATCAGAGAAGCTATGGATGCTTGTCTAACCATTGACGACTCGTCTGCCAGTAAAAGAAACCATGACTTGAACCGCCACTGAAATAAGGGTAAAAATCAAAGATAAGAAGTAAAAAGGTCAAAATCACAGTGACGTCTTGCACTCACAGTAGAGATCATTTGACTGGATCTCCAAAAATTGTCGAGAGTCATAGACTGCTCAACCATGTCTAGTACAAGCGTCATAGACTCACTCAAGCTAAATGAAGAGCTCATTCACCATTCCATGAACTAACCAAATGCAGATTTCTAGCCTCGTCATAATCCATATTGGTCAACAAACTTCTTTGACAAACTATCCTTCTTAATGCTTTCCAAAGTGAGCCAAAAGAGAATCATGGAGTGGACAACAATTTCAAATGTCAGGACATTCCCCACATCCACATAACAAACCTGCACTACTCCTACAAGTGAAAGCATGAAGCAGACAAGCCCAACCACTGAACTTTGTATCACAACCTACCACTTACCATGCGTTCGGATAGCTATGAGGATAGAAGGTCCTGGAATATAGATAATAATCTACTTTGTAGTCCGTCATAAATCAGCTTCTATGCCTCATCCCTCATGGCATGACCTTTGGATCCCAGACCATCATGTACTTACCAAAATTACCAATATTAGCAGGAAGCAAACAACCTAATAAATGACTTAGAACCACATGAATGGGGACTAAAGCCTTCACAGCAACCCAATTGAAGAGGAAACACCATGCAATTGGTAAAAGTGATGGCATAACAGTGAAAACAACCTTGAGACAACTTTTCACTTAGATAATTGGCATATGAAAGCAATAAAAACAAATCCATGTATATATATTAAAAAAAAAAACAACAATCACAATAATAGCAAAAAGAACATTCCCCACACCCACATACATAACAAACCTACATACTCCTACGAGTGAAAGCATGAAGCAGACAAGACCAACCACTGAACTTTTGTATCATAACATAGAACCTACCATGTGTTTGGATAGCTAGAGGATAGAATGTCCTAGAATATAGATAGTAATCTACTTTGTAGTCCATCAAAAATCAGCTTTTGTGCCTCATCCCTCATGGGATGACCTTCGGATCCCACTCCAACATGCACTTACCAAAATTACCAATATTAGAGGAAGCAAACCACCAAACAAATGAATCAGAACCACATGAATGGGGCTTAAGCATTCATCCAACAGAAGGTTAAACACCATGCATTTGATAAAAAGTGTAGGCATAATAGTAAATACAGCCTTGAGGATAACTGGCATAGGAAAGCATTGAAAACAATCCATGTCTCGTAATAATAAAGAAAATAACAGGAAAGAAAAACTTTAATGTTGAAAAAGATTGTCTACCCCTTCAGAGCCTTCCAAATCTCATTGGTCCACATCAACCCTGGGAGATGGATATATGGTAACAGTGCGACTGCGAAGCCATAAACACAATTAACTACAATCAGAAAAACAAAATCACATATTATAAAGCAGCTACAAATTGGACGATTGCATTGATGCTGTGAAAAAAACGTACAGCTATCCAATTTATTATTACCAAGTACATCTGAAAGTTCTTTACAAACCCACAGACTTCTCTCCTTGAGCAGCAGCAGCACAGCTTCTGCGACAAAGCATTCAAGAAAACCCTTGAAAGCCCTAAATCTCCACTGACATTGTTAATCCACAGAGAAAGGTTGAAATAGGAACTGAAATCTCAAATCGATTTAGAAGAGTGGACATTAATTTGTTTGCATCGGAAGGAAGAATTGGAGGAAATTTCTGCGACAGAGCATTCAAGAAAACCCTTGAAAGCCCCCAAATCTCCACTGACACTGTTAATCGCCAACATCACAATCTCACCCGTATCAAATTAATGTCCACAAATCCAAGCCAATTTATCAGCAAACTGTGAATGATTTTGTGCAATCAGATCGCAGAGTTCGATCAACGAATCCATTGATTTACAGTGCTGAATATTTTCGAAGAGAGGAGAGAGAAATCAAACAAACGGAAGTGAGGAATTGATCTGGTGGTGGAATTTAGTACTTACGAAGAGACCATCGTCGTTTCTTTCGAATCTTTAAGATACATAGAGAGAGCCGTTGAGAGTAATGGAGAAGAGAGGCATGGAGAAGAGAGGCTTTGGCTTACATTTATAGTTTGTGAACAACCGACTTAGGAAACCAAAAGAGGAAAAGAGAGGTTTGGGAGGGAGCCAACGGCTAACTCGGATTTGGAAACCAATTGAACAGCCTTGCCTGTAAGGGAAAATTACACCTTAAACCCTTGATGCTTCCATACTTTTCATATTATACCCTCAGTTATGTTTTATTTTTTTTTTTTTTGAGAGAGAAGTGAGACCTGAACCCTTGACCTCAAGAAGACAAAGTTTTCACAAGACAAGGAATACCATTGAATCAAAGACCCATTGGTAATACTCTCAATTATGTGATTAGTTTTGGATTGCTCTAATTATTAAAGTTCATTACATATGTAATGAAAATTTATTTCATTTTATCCCTCAAATTATATAATTTTTTTCACTTTGCCTTAACACGTCAACACCTTTCATCAAAAAAATAACATTTATTTGTGATTGGACAATGTGCAATAATCAAATTAGTTAAGGGACAATGTAAAAATTTTAATAGTTAAAAAGATAATGCGAAAATTTCAATAATTGAGAAGCCTATTTTGACTATTTAAAAATAAAATTATTTATTATTTATTTTTTGTCGCCCTACTTATAATTCAAAAATATAATTTATCAAAATATTAAATTATAAATTTTTTAAAATAAAATTGTATATATATAAAATGGTTAATCTCAAATTGCACCACAATATATCGTTCGAATCTCAATTTGTACACTCAAAAATCTAAATTTGTACCTTCAAATATATAAATTTATATTAATGCACACCTGAAACTATAAGTCGTTTGCGATTTAAATGTAAATAGATAAATTATACTTAAATCCCCTTATACTTATCACTTAATTATTTTGACCTCTCACATTTAGAATATTACTCTTACATTTCTTCACATTTGTACATGTGAAACACATAACCCTTTATCGTTGATATCTGTTAATATAACCGTTAAAAAATGTGATTTCATATTAATAAAAAATTATAATTTCATACTATCATTTATTTTGTGAGCTCGTTATACTCTAAAGTTCAAAATTAAGTTTACTATTTGAATACGTAATATAATGCAGATATTTATACAATGTTCTTTATGTCTCATGTAATACATCATTTAAACAAATTCATTTGAACGCCTAATTGGGGAAATATTTTTAGTCATATTTGATTTCTCAAGGAATATAAGTATAATATTTATATAATAAAACAGGAATGTGTTTGAATTTTATCCCAGTTATATTTTTCTCTTCAAAATCATCATCAATCACTTACCTCACCCATCATCTCATTGTCAGACTCAAATGTCAAATCACATCACTCATTTCTATCACATGTTTAATCATTTATATATTTTATTCCTAAAAACATTATATCATTTATTTAATCATTTAATATTTGATTAATTTGTAATTAATATATTTTGAAAAAAATTAATATAGTGGAATCGATTTTTTAAAAGCTCAATTTTTTTTTATCGTGTCTTTAGGTATGAGTTATGACTAGTTTTAAAATATGAGGAATTTAGGTGATTAAGTGACAAGTATTAAGAAATTTATGTGTAATTTATTCATTTAGTTTTACACGGTGAACTGACGGCTATTAGTTGGAGATATGTATTGATACAAATTACTATATTTAAGGGTGTAAATTAAGATTCAAATGATTTTTCATGGTGGAATTTGAAATTAACCCTATATAAAAAGAGGTCTGTCCAACAAATCCGTCTAATGAGTGACACGCTGGGTTGGGGGTAGCCCACTTTTACCCAAAGCCCGCCCGAATATGTAAAACCCAAAAAATTAAAAGATTTCATAAAAAAGGTAATACGATAATTAAGTACAAATTAAAAACTTGTATTTTACATAACTTGGATGATGAAACAGATATTGCCGTTTGATTCGATTCGCGAAATTAAGTAGGTCAGTTAATTTTGGTTAAATTATGAGACAATTGATGTTTTCACGCATTACAAGACAAATAAAAAATACGCAATTAAAATTTCAACAATTGAGACTTAGTCACGGGATCCATAATATAATTAAAAGACTGTTCAACTAATTTTATCCAAATAGGCAAGTCACGAGTTGTGATTAATTTTAGGAGTTTTTCAACCAATGAAAAAGTGAGACATGGTGCAATATACACTTGGTATAAACAGGGCCAAAAAGTGAAAGAAAAATTTTCCACTCCACCAAAAAGTGGAAGAAAGGTCACCCCTGGGAGATGGCTATATGAAGAGAAAGCATTCCGGAGAGAGAGAGAGAGAGTTGGTGGGTGTAAATATGAGTTAATTTTTGAGTATTTTTTTATTTTTTAATTTCTAAGTTTTTAATGTTATGGATTTGATCATGGACCCAAATTATTGTAATAAAATATTTTATTGGATTTAATTTTTTAAAACTTTTTGTAAGGCTTAAAATTTAATAAATTTAATTTTTGTTGTGAGTTAGTAATGTACTTAAAATTATGAGGCCTCTTAAAAACTTATGGCATGAAGTCCATACTTTTTTTTCATATTGTTGGGCCGGCCCTGTGAGGAAGAGACCAGTAACTCCCACATTTGTATCCAAAGACAATATGTGCAGTCTTTGTACCCAGTTGCTTTCATACCATACTCGAACTGAGTATTATTTCAAATGGAAAAACCAGCAATCATCGTAGTCTTCCATAAATTACCTTCGATTTCACACTTCAAACATCTTGCTTCTTTCTCTCTCCGCATTTGTTTTCGTAATGCGTGAATAATAAAATAAAATTATTTTTGAGTTTCAAAAATAAAAGACAGCTGAGATCATTTCCGAAAAAAAATGAAATATCATTCTACCGACGATGTTATCTCAACTTTTTTATTTTGTTTCATTTCAGCAGACTGGGTAGAGCAATGAACCTAGCTTAATCAAAAAAAGTATAAAAATTACCAAAAACAGTACCTTATTTGAACAGGACCTGTTGTATAGGTAGGGCTCCTACCTCTCTATCATCCATGACGACTTCTGAGATAGGAACCTAAGAAGTTGCAAGGTATCACTTACGAATGAAAAGCATTAACTTGATTGTGGTAGTCTCCACTCTGGACGAACCTAGAGGTGGTGAAATCTATTCCTTTTGACAAAAGAAAATCTATTAAATAAAAATTGTGAATGACATTTTGTGAGGTGCAGAGGTGAAAAAAGCATAGGTACATGCCCATTGGAGCTCCCTTAATTTAAATTTAATTTATTATTTAAAAATTATAAATTTGTAATTCATTACACGAGATTTTAGAGCATGATTGATTTAAGTGTATTGGGATGTATGTTGAGATATTAAAAAGTGAAGCGTGCCTATCATAGAAAAAAGTGCTGCTTGTAATGTGCATTTTATTGATAACAAAGTCGAGGCACAAGACAACTATTTCCATATTCAAAAAAAGCTTAAATGTTGCAGCAGGGCCAAGGAATGGGTCGGGTCTATTGGACAACAAATTTGACTAGGGTTGGGTTGTACTGGAGGGATGTAACTTGGACGGGTTGAAAGGTTTATCCTAACTCGACACTAAGTATATAATTTTCAATCTTAACCCAATTTCAACTCGAGTATTGTCTAACTTTAATTTGGGTGGGT